TTTAAAAATAATAAATACTTGAATAGGTTTAACATTTTGTATCATTGGCATAATAGTTTGTTTACCAATCCATTTATAAACTTCAACAAGTAATAATTTAGCCTCATCACGAACAGTTTTATCACGATCTTCAAGTAATGGAATAACTTTTGGCAGGAAAGGTTTTATTGGAAGAACTTTTGAACCAAATTCTCTTTAGAGAAAAAGAAAATAAATGAAATACGAATTCATTATAAAATATTTAACATACGATAATCCACGTCGAAGTAATTCAAGACAAGCTTGAACAATTTTTGGTTGTTTATTTTCAAGACCTTTGATTAATTCTTCTTCTATTTCAGCATTTTTATCAATTTCAATATACGTAAGAAGAATATCAAAAGCACGTTCTTTAATTTTTGGTCTTCCACTAAGACTTTTACCCATTATTATTGGAACAATATCACCAACAGTTCTATAATTAAATATTCTACAATGAAATATATATCTCTTAAAACTTACGTTCGTGCAACATATGCTTCTTGAATAAAAATAAGTAAAGCTTCTAAACCTTTTTCTTTAGCATTTTCATTTGTATCTTGAGCAAATCTTGGTAAAAGATCTAAATAATCTTCAAACTCTCCACTTTTGCTTGAATCTTGCATAGCAAAAAGCTTTCCACATTCTTCATAACCAGCTAAACGTGCATTCCATAACTGAAATAATACGCAAAAAAAAACAACAACAATAAGATTTAAACTTTATAATATATTTTTTGTTTTCATATTTCTTACTTTGTGTTGGACTTTTTCATCTCCGGGTAATTTTTGCCATTCCGGATCGTCAATTGGTTTTTCACTGCGTACCTAAATAAATCAAGAATAATTTTCTTTTAATTATTTTATCAAAATCAATATCTGATAAATATATATTGCGTAATTTCTCGTATAAATTAAGAACGAAAGAGTAAAAGAACAGTAAAAATATCTATTCAACAACAAATTCGATAATAAAAACAATGAAAGAATACCATATAGAAAAATGAATTTTTAACAAAAGATTTTTCAACCTTTGTATTCTATGAAAGTATTCAAAGAAAAAATAAATACAAATATCAAGGCATGATTAACAGTGAGAAAGAGAGAGAGAAAATAAATCGTATCACATAATAGAATCTTAAATTCTTATAACGATAATTATTTAATAATAGTTATTGGTATCGATCTCACAGGTATACGACTTTTTGTATTTATACTAATTGTTGATGAAATATTATCATTAGATGTCGATCGAAGTATTGTTGTCTTAGTAGAATTTATTATAGTTGTTGTTGATTGATGTTTTAAATTTATTGATGATGAAACTGTTGGACTCAATGATGAACGTCGAACAGTAGATATTATTGGTTTCGGTCGAATTTTCTTTATTGTGATTGATTGATTAGATTGAATTGAAAGTATAGTATTTGGATGTTTTACACCTAATTGAACATTAGTTGCTGTTGTAATAGCAGTAATTGGTTGAATTTTCAATGAATTAAATTTTCCATTTGATAACAATGAATTTGTTACGAATTGTTTCACTTGAGGTATCGTATGCGATACGACACTATCAATGATTAACATAGAAGCCTACAATAACGCACAAACATATACACAAATATGTACGAGTATTGATTTTAAAAATTAGACATGAAGACAATTTATATGCAAAGACATATGTGTATATGTTTGTATGTCTTATTTTGATTAAAACAAAAGGAGAACGTACGCGCAAAAACCATGAGAAAGACTTTGAAAAAAAACAAAACAAACAATGAAAGATTTTAATTTACCTTTGGTGGTCTTGGTTCTCGTTTTTTCTCTTCTGCAAGTTCATTTGTTGTTGCTGGAGGTTTACTAGTTGTTGTGGTTTTCTTCTTAGTGACAGTTGTTGATTTAGTTGTTGGAGCTGGACTTGTTGATTCTTCATCTTTATCAGCTGTAACATCAGGTTTAACTATAGTTGCACCTCCTGGTTTCTTTGTCATGGTTGCTGTATTTATCGATGAGGCAACAGATTTCGGTACAGCAGCTGTACTTGTTCCTGATGAACGTGGTTCTCCTCGACTGTTGAGTAGAACTGCTTTTTCAGCATATTCTTTTATCTTAAAATAAAAATGATTTAAATAAAAATTTTCTACAGAAAACTATTTCATTACTTTATTTAATTTAAGTTCATCTAAGTCAGTTACATGTGGAAGAATATGTTTTTCACCAAGACATTTCCATAACATACCAAGACTTTCAAATGCACTATCACGTACACCTGCATCTGCTTCACCTGTATTCTATAATTCGAAATCATTTTTTTTTTCTTAAATATATTTAACTATAATTTAAATAAAATATTTTCTACTTTAATTAATGCTGGTAAATAAATTTTAAGAACTTTTTTAGGTAATGTTGTTTGTGTTGCCATAGCAAAACATTTTGTAAGAAATTGATGTGTACATTGTCGTACAATAGGTGTTTTATGTGCTAGTACAGCTATTGCTACTTCAGAAAGTTGATCGAGATTTGTCTAGAGAAATTAAAATTTCTTCTTTGAAGAATGAAATTAAAACAATATATATATACCGCAGGATATGAAGCTTCACATGTTTCACGTAATGCTTCGATAACATTTGTTTTCTTTTCACGAAATCGATCAAGACATACTTCAAGTACCTAAATTAAAAAAAAATAACTATCGTATTCTTTAGAATGTTGGCAATTTTAAGTTTCAGCAAAATTTTGTTGTCATGGTAAATATTTATCAAAGTATTATTTCTTTTATTTACTCGTTAAACAGATTAAAAAACAATCAACCATATTTTCGGAAAAATATTGTTCAGAAAATCGGTCTTTTCTATGATACACAAAAAAAGTTATCGATATAAGTTTTGTATTTACAGATTATAACCATCATAACTTTAGTTCGAAAGAAATCATTATCACATTTCAAATCAGCCGAAAAATCCGCATCGAATAGTATACTCAGTAGTCAAAACTTATTTTCTTCATGTTTCGACTTAGGAAGAGAAGCACAAGTCATAGTGGAAACATATCGAGCATCAATTTTTTTCGTCTTGCTGGTTTTAGTTGTTGCAGTTCAAGACACAGTAATTTTACTTTCTATGGGTCCCAACCCAGTGAAAACTATCACAAAATTTATTCGTATAACATCTAAAACAGTTCTTCAGTACTCATCTTTTTTCAATTATGTTCTGATTGATATGTTTGTGTAAAATAATTCACTTAAAATCATAACATTATGTTTAGGTTCGATTGGGACAAGTTTTTTTTCTGGTAGCCCTAATCATGGTCTTAGCAGCATCTCTTTCTCATAGTCCCGATCGCAATATTCGAACATAACTGTTACAGATCTGTGGACCGATATTAGTTGTCAGTATATTATTCGATGCAGATTTTTGCATTGCCAATACATAATATTAATCTAGAATATACTTACACCAACAGCATGAGTTTTAAATGCTTTTTTTAAACCTTTAGCTAATGCTGTTAAACATTTAGCCGTAACAAGAACAACAGGTATATTGCTATCTTTTGAAATAATCTATAAAAACAATAAATATTTTTATTTCTATTTTTTTTAATAATTTGTATTTCTTATACTTTTTTTAATGCTTTAATAAGTTCAAAATAATCAACTTCAGGTGTTGGTTTAGGATTTTGTGTTAATAATGTTAATAAATCATCAAGTACTTCTTTACGTTCTTTCCATTGTTTTGATTCCTAAGAAATTAAGAAAAATTTTTAAAATAATCAATAAATTGATTATTTAACATTACAATTTTATCAAAAAAATCTTTTGCTAAACGATCAAGAATATTAACAGATTCTAACATTTCAAATGGATCAAGATCTTCTTGCACTAGAATATATATTTTTATCGAAAAATATTCAATTCCAAAAAAAACCAAAATCTATTTTTATTTACTTTCAACATTAACATCATCAATAGCTACAGATGAACTAACAGTTGTTGATGCTTGAGTTTGTTCCATTTTTTGTTTAAGATCTTGTTGTGAACGAAGAAAACGTGTTTGTCGTGGTTTATCAGCACCATTCAAATCTAATTTATCAAATTCAGTTTGTAATTCTTGCATCTAAATTACACAAAACAATTAAACATTAATGAAAATATCTTTTAAAAATAATAAATACTTGAATAGGTTTAACATTTTGTATCATTGGCATAATAGTTTGTTTACCAATCCATTTATAAACTTCAACAAGTAATAATTTAGCCTCATCACGAACAGTTTTATCACGATCTTCAAGTAATGGANACGCGCATATATATATGTATATATACATATTGTAAAAAACAGAATCAAAACAATATTCTTCTTGTTCATCAGAATTCTTGGAATTTTGTTAAATTCATCACTATTATTCAAAAACATCTTTACTTCTATCTTTATTTTTTTTAAATAATCATTTATTCTGTCTATTTATATTTGTTTTTAAATATAAGATATTTCTTTATCTTTATTTTATAAAGACAAGAATAACACCTATATTTATTATTTATTAGAAACAAAGTCAAAAAATAAATTCTCAGGAGAATCTTGGTTTCCGTCTGAGGCTGTAGACACATAATATGATAACATGAAACAAAGGGTGGGTGTGGGTGACGGTGTGGCTGTGGCTGCAAGTCTGGAGTGTGACTGTGAGTCTTCTCTTCATCCACACCCACATACACCCACACCCAACAGGTATTGTNTGCCTGCACGGTATCTATGTTTTTCGTCGACACGGTTTTCTTGGCCACGAAGGGTGCTCCAAACGTCAGGATGAGGGAAAAATGGATTGAGCTCGTCATTCTTAACAGTCCTGTGGAATAACTGAAGGGTCCGCAAGAATTTAGGGTGCTCCGCTAGCCTTTCGACGAAAAACATGCAATTTGTCTGAACTATCAGCCAATTATTTATTTACACAATTTCAAAAACTAAATGAGCACATTCTCGCTGTATTTTTCTGTTAAATTCATCTTGACGTTTGAATTTAGGACCCTGTTCTCGTTGGTCAAAATTTCGAAAAGGGGAATTAATAAAATAAAAAAATTAATAACTAATTAATAAAAAATAAATAAAAGCGACCTCGGATTCCCCACTCTGAGTTATCTTTGGTCATGTGTTGTGGGAAATATTAATAATTAGTTAATAATAATAAAAAACGACATGGGATTCGGATTCTCCATCCTTCATTTCCTTTGGTCAAGTTTTATGGAAAATATAAATTAGTTAATAATTAACTAATAATTAATTCATAATTAAAACAGACCTCGGATTCCGATTTCCCACTCTAAATTACCTTTAGTCAAGTTTTGTTTAAAAATATTAATAATTAATTAATTAAAACTGACTTCGAATTTGGATTCTCCACTCTCGATAACCTTTGGTCAAGTTTTTGAGATAATTATTTCTTGTGTTGTCGCATTGTTCTCTCATCATCAGTGAAGTGCGGACACACAAGCAAGCAAGCAGACAATTTATGTTTGCTAGACTCTTCTCTACGAGAAACAGAATAAAGACAAGCATTACACCTATATTTATTATTTATTAGAAACAAAATCAAAAATAAATTCGCAGGAGAATCTTGGTTTTTGTCTAAGGCTATAGATGCATATAATATGATAACATGAAACAAAAGTCTGCTGTAAAAACAAAATTCTGCTTATGCATCAGAATTCTGATCAAAATTCTGCTGTACAAATGGAATTCTGAACAGAATTCTTAATTTATCATATCAACATAATTTGAAGAAACATATGGATAACGGCGAATATGTGCGCTACAGAATTCTTAAATTCTGCCAGCCCTCTCACTATAACTATTCTATAAAAGCTATCATTAGCGATAGTAAGGTTCCATTATTGTTCAATAATTTTTTCCATCACATCGATTTATTTCTAGATTTATTGAATTACATTGAAGCGAGCTTACGGGATCAATATATTAAACAGTATTCATTAAAACTAATTGTTGCAATGAACCTAAGAAAAAAAATCACGAAAAACAATTTCAATGGGCTCCGAGCGGCTGCTCGGTGGTTATCGAAAGGCGTATCGGTCGCACCGTATGATCCTTTGCATAAAGGATGGTGCAATCGCTCCGCTCACTAAAATGGCTTACGGAGCAGTCCGTACCGCTGCCACTATTTGAAAGTTTAAATCTGATTTTCCACCGCCGCTCATCCGTTTTTAGGGGTGGTGCACATCTCTGATTCATAAGGAATTAAATACGCCCGCCACTACTTTTGGATTGTTCTAAGTATTTCATAAAAAAGTGTAGAAACCCTTTGACCATGTACTGCATGTGCATGTGAGTATATCTACTACAATACAGGTAGTTCGATTTTCCTAGATCTATTTAGATATCAAATATTGACAATAACAATATATCATACGATAAACGATAAATACAACACTAATTCAACTATTAAACCCATTAGAGTCTCGGATGTCAAGATCGAGATTTGCTGGATGTTAGTTATCAGACTAATGTGACGAAGAAGAAAAAGTTAAGTTGAAGAAATAGTCATCGGAGTGTGATGTTTTGATTCATTGCCAGCACGGAACAGTATGATAGAATACTAATAAAGTGATGAAAAAAGACAAGTTCTTTTGTGAGACTCGAATCACGTACCTTTTGCTTCACGACTAAACGTACTATCTTTAAACCAGACGAAGCATATCCCACCCATTTTATGACCGTAGGGAAATACAACAGCTGTAACAATCGGTGAGAATGAATTGAGACTTATGTGGAACTAACATATGTTTGGAACCTATTATTAATTAAAAATCCAACTATTCAAACGCAAATAAATTTAAAATGAAAATGATTAAACCATACTAATATTTACATAATATACAATATTTGTATGATATATCATAGATTCAGAGTATTAAAAGATGCATTGTGACTCCAATAGCTGCTTGAATAATGATTTCATCCTCAGCCATTACTGTTGAGATGTCCTTTAATGTAACTATAAAGATTAGGCCTTTACTCTCACCTATTAAGATCGTATTGAAATATTTAGAGATATGTTCCTGTTTAAGAATTCGTGGTACTATCAGTTATTCGGATGTTTATGGACAGGTGCATGAAGATTTAATGGCATGCGCTATCTATAATGCTTGTATTTCTCTTTATTTCTAAAGCATGTTTTTAATGAAGATACGTATTAGGTTGCTTTCAGCAAAAGGATATCTTCATATACGTATATTGTATAATCATGTTGATAGTATTAAAATAATTAGTATAATCTCTACCTAAGTATCTGAGTATTATTATGAAAATAAACACAAAATACCGTTCGGTACAAAACACATTCAGAGTGCCGATTTGGACTGTGCGGAATAGGGTTGAGATAGGAATCGGTGTAAGTTTTCTCTTCATATTCGCAACTAGAGTCACACCCTACTATCATGTCGTCTATTTCAAACAGAACTGAAACTCAACGTTACTGTATGTGTCATTGACAAATGTAATCTCTTGCTAACAGTTCGGAAACAATATGGGCAAGAGTCAATCTTTTAGAATTCACAAAAAAAGACAACCACTTCAAACATAAAAGGAAATTAACAACTAAATGAAGAAAGAAAAATGGTGTTGACAAAATGGATTGGCTGTCAATGTCATTCAATCTTTCATTTTTCGAAAATGTTTTGGCAACAACTTCTCAAAATGAAGTTAAGAAGAAGCAAGCTTGAAACTTATCAATTGTTGACATCGACAATAAAGCGCGAGCCAAAAGTTCTAACTCGCAGTTAGCCATAAATTTTGTACAGTTTGTATTATTGAATTTCTGAAGTCGACACAAATTAGGCTGACTTTATATTACATTATATTGATTAGAGTGTATGATGAGCTTTTATATAATAAAAAATGTTTTAATCTGATCATTTCGTTTCATAAAATTCGTCTAGGCATAAAGACTTTTATCCACTTGATGCTAACTCGAACCTTCAATAGATATCAATCAACATTATTAAAGAAAATCAAACGTTATACATATTGCTACCAAGCTGTGTACGAAGAAATCGAAAAGACATATGCTCGAAAATAACTGTTTGAAAGACTATTCTTGGACCAAGAACTTCAACGACATACTAATCATTTATTGAAAACGTTCAGTGATTGTTTCAGGTTCTTAAAAGATATTGATTATGACTTTCAAATACCGAAAAAGTGCCGTTTATGATTCGTATGCACCAATCAATTTCAAGATTTAATCCATTAAGAGTGTTAAAATAAAAAGAATATTTTTGTCTGATAATATGTTGCACGAGCCTGGATGCATTTTTTATGTTGTCTTAATCCCTACTTGATATTTTTTCTTACGAACAGATTTTCTTATTGCAATTCTTTAATCTCATATTTATCGCAATCCTTATAATATATTCCAGAAATAAAATTTTTCTTTTTTATAAAAGTCATCTTATCTGTATCTATAGTGGTAAAAAATACGTTTTTGAATGTAGGTTTCTTTCGAAATCTGATATTGACTTCGATAAAATTGATTCTTGTTGCCATTTGCTATTATTTTTTTCCAATAGGTGTATCAATTGATTTCGACTTTGTGATTTCAAATTTCTATAAAAAGATTAATTAACTGATTTACAAATTTTTCCGTTCTTGATTTTGAATCATTAGATTGAGGGAAATAAAAGCTTTTAAAAAACTCCATTTATTTATTTATGTCAATATCATTTGACTATAAATAGAAATATTTTCTTACCTAAAATGAATAAACAATTCTACCAGTTATTTAGTAATTATCAAGATAACTATTTTCTCTTGTAATTCAAGCCGTACAAAAATCGCCAATAGACCATTTGGTACAATTTACATAATACAGGTGGTATTTGTTGGTAGTGACAAAAAAAAATCGGCAGTTAATCAGTATTACTTTGATACTTAAACGGATAACTATGATCTGATCATCATTCTACTTGTGTATGTCGATAGTTGTTCTCTGATAGGCAATCTGCTACCAGTGTACCTGCGGTACTACGATCAAACATGCGATATGACTTGTTTATACTCATAGATAGTTCAATACTTATGGTTACAATTCTAGTTTTTTTACTTGATGTATCCTTTTACTCTATAGTCATTACGTCCAAAACATGATATTGATAGTGCTTGTCTGTTATCATTCATATTAAATCATTATTTTTAATTATGCTTCATATATTTAACTTCCTACAGCTATTCAGGACGATCATCCAAAGAAAAATATTTACAGATAAAAATAAAATAAAATCAATTAAGCATATAGGAACATAAAAACAAATGAATCCAGTTTGTTCTTTATCATACCGCACAGATAATCTCAAGCAAAGCTTCGGTGAAAAACAAAATAATTCAAATGCGCTTCATTAATCCTATTGATTTATGATATCTGATGCTGGGAAACAAAATCTGAAAAAACAAAGGATAAGAATCTGTAAAACCGTTATAGAAAAAGAAAATATTCTTATCTTCTATCTGGAGTCATTTTCAATTGATATAGAATGAAATAAAAAAAAGGAAGAGGGACTCCGTATAAAAACCATTTGGACAGCATAGTACCTTCATTCCCATCAAAATATTGATAAAAGCATGTTTTCGTTGCTGTTTTTATCAATTATTGGTTGTATTTTAGCCCAAGAAACTATAGTTGATGTAGCCGACTGTCCTGCAGGATATTTTTGTTTAGCTAGAGGTATATTGCCCATCCCGTGTCCTCCAGGAACATGGAGTAATGCTGGAGCAGTTCAATGTCAACAGTGTCAACTAGGATATTATTCAACGACAGGTGGATCATCTTACTGTACCATATGTGAACCAGGACATTCTTGTGGAGCTGCTGAATTGCCTCCTGAAGCATGTCCATTAGGATTTTACAATGACAAATTAGGACAAGTACAATGTACTCCATGTGATTCTGGTACCTATACACCTGCAACAGCTTCAGTAGAATGTACATTATGCCCAGCAGGATCATTTTGTTCAGATGCAGCTGTATTGCCAGATCTATGTCCCACAGGTATAAATATACAAGCTAGATCTCGTACAAAAGGAAAATACGGCGCGGCGAATATTCGTCTGTTGTCAGGTCAAGAGTAAAATTCTTGCCCTCCCTTTTTTAACCTGATAACTGACGAATACTAGACATATTACATATCTATATAGATTGTCTTACTGTTGCCATAATTGCATATTGTTGTTGCAGGTCATTACAGCAGTCCTGGTCAAATACAATGTACTGTATGTCCTGCAGGTCATTATACGACTAAAAATGGTTCAGCACTGTGTAAGACTTGTCCCATTGGCCATTACTGTTTGGCAGGAAATGAAGAGCCAAAACCATGCCCACCTGGAACAGCTAATGCATTACATGGTCAAACAGCTTGTATACCATGTTCAGAGGGCAAATATAGTGCATATTCAGGTGCTATAGTATGTGATTTATGCCCAATTGGTAGCTATTGTGATAAAGCAGATGAACCACCAAAACCGTGTCCAGCAGGATTTTTTTGTTTGGAAGGACAAACAACGGGTACACCATGTCCAACTGGCTATCAAACAACATTAACAGGACAAAGTTATTGTAGAATTTGTTCGCCTGGTATGCTTAAAATATTTAGCAAAAAATAACACTTAATACTATTTCTATTGATTTTAATTTAGGTCATTATTGTCCAAACCCTGATGGTAATCCAATTCTATGTCAACCAGGTTATGCAAATAATAAACATGGTCGTGTTGAATGTGACCTCTGTCCTAGTGGATCCTTCGCAGATGTTGCTGGTTTAGCTTATTGTGTCACTTGTCCACCTGGTTATATTTGCACTAATGCTCGTACAGCACCAATGTCTTGTCCATTGAATAAAGCTAGAGGACAAACAATCTGTCCTGCTAAATAAAAATAGCCATTAATGAATAGCAAAGAATAAAATTTTGTTTTGTGCTTGATTTGTTTTTTTCTAATATTCATTGAAACGTAATTCTGAGTGAAGGAAAATGTTTTTTATAAAATGTTGTTGTCTATTTATTCACAAATGAATTTCGATTAAAAGGTTCTATTTCTCTCATACATATAAAAAAGATTATATAGTGCATTGAAAGTTCACCAGCAATACAGTTCGATTTAAGGAAATTTCATCCTTGCCGAGATTTTTCAGGAACGGCTCGATGAAAAACAATACAACTTTCAAGACGGATAGATCTTGAAAAGTGGAACTAAAGCAGTCATAGACTCAAGATTTTCAGATGCTTTCTTCAAGACGACGTGTGAGTCGCAACGACCAAAGATTCCCCCACCTCCGCAAACTCTATACTTCGTTTTTTCAAAGCTGCTATTTTTGTTACGATAACTAGAATCAAATGAGGGTGTGCATTTTTTCTTCCTTTCAAAAATGTCGTTCCTGGAGCCTGACAGAAGCAAAATACTGGAGGTGGCGTGGATATGGGTGTTATTTGAAAGTAGAATAAAAGTCTTACTCTTACTTACACCCATCTTAAGGAAGAATTTTTTAGCTATGAGTTTGAGAATTTTTTCAAAACATAACAAAGCGAAAATAAAAAATCGAACTGTATTATAACCTAGCCTTAATAGTACTCTACAAGTCGAAAACCACTCCAACATGTCAGCTCGTATCCTCATTTTGAAAATCGTCCCTGCTTCAAGCGTATTTTTAACCAATGAATTGACTATAACAGACCTCCGAATTCGTTCAAAGTACTCATAAAAAATGTTGAGTCGAATCAGATATATCGTAAGGGAAGAACCTTTTCTTTTTTTATTTAAAAATTGATTTTAAGACAGACGAAAAAAAAATTTGCTGTATGCATTAGGGCTATTTTTCTCCAACCAAAGTGATCGAAAATTTCCCGTGTTTCGTGGTGTTAGAGATCTATAACCTTTGCTCTAACCACGTTTATAATGAGAAATAATCATATGAGTGTCTGACCAGTTCGAACCTTAAAACAAACATCACAATTCAACTCACAACGGTGAATTACTCCTGACTAGCTGCTATTCCGGGTGAATGATCACAGGCCAATCGACTGCAATCGGGAGTCTTAGGAGAAGTCTTATACTTCTCAACTAGAACAAGCTAAGAATATCGGCTTTATGCAGATCGAACAAGGAGAGTTTATTTTTTATCAACTACTTCTATTAAATGTCTAAATCAGAAGGAAAACAACTTCAGCATATCGTTTTTGAAGGTCTCTACCAAGAACTCACCTAATCGTTAAATTGTTGACCAATAAAATTTTCATATATTTTGATAGTTTCCGAGTCTTCTCTCTTGAATGGTGAAAGGCGCATATATCTATGATGTTCGTACCAAAAGCCATTCAAAACACAGTAGAGCATATTATATTTTGAAATGAATGATATTATTGTATTTCAGTATTTTCTTCAAAATTCTTTTAAAAGTTTACATAGCGAGTAACAATCCATTTCCCAATAAATGTATATATATATATATGTTTTTTTTTGTTAATGTTGAACTCATCAAAATCAATATCTGATAAATCTATATTGCATAATATCTCTTCTTTGTTAATAGTTACAAAAAGAAAGAGAGAGAGAGAAAGAATATGAATCCAAGAACGCAAAAAAGAATCCATTAGAATAATAAATAGAATGGAAGACAAAAAGAGATATACAAAAGAAAAAGAAAAAAAAACTGAAGTAATTATTTAATCAATCATCGCATTATACGAGAAAATAAATAAGAAAGAATATCAAATGCGAAAGAACTAATCAATATCACATAACTAATTTTTCTTATGTCAATGATTTTTTAACAACATTTATTGGTATTGTTCGTACAGGTATACGACTTTTGTTATTCATATTTAATGAGTTTGGTGATGAAATAATATCATTTGAAACTGATCGAAGTATTGTTATTGTTGTTGATGATGTTGGTGTTTCTGAACGTGTACATGGTATTGATGCTTGAGTATTTGTACTACTTAATGATGATGTTGAACCACCAGTTGATGTTGATTGTCGTTGTAAATTTGATGTTGAAGATGATATTGTTGATCCAAATGATGAACGTCGATTTGTTGATATAGGTGGTTTAGTTCGAAGTTTTGTTGTTGAACTTTGAACAATTGGTATTAAACGTTGTGTACGTGATTGTGCATTAATTGTTATTGATTTTGATGGTGGAGCCGTAACTGGTCGAACTTTTGATATAGTTGCTTTTACATTTGATGAAGATGTATTTGCAACTGTTGGTTTAGTTCGACATGAAGAAAGACGAGGTACAACATTAGAGATTGGTGCAGCAGTCTATAATACAAATTTAAAAAAAAAAAGATAATTTTTTGTTTGCAACAAAAAAAAAATGAAAATGTACTTTGGGTGGTCGTGATTCTTTTTTCTTTTCTTCTAAAGTTTCATTTGCCGGTATAGGAGGAGGTTTAGGTATTACAATTGGCTTTCTCTTGACTACGATTGATGGTTTTGTATGTTTTAATTCTTCATCTAATTTACTAATAGGTACTTCCGTACTTGTTGGTTTAGGTTTTATTATTACTGAATTAACAGGTGAAGTAGTAGTCATCTCGGCTATAGTTACAGGAGCGGTTGAACGTGGTTCACCTCGAAGATTAAGTAGAACTGATTTTTCTGCATATTCTTTTATCTAAACAAACAAAAGAATTAGATTAAAAATTAGTTCGATGAATTTTTTTACTTTATTTAATTTAAGTTCGTCCATGTCAGTTAAATTCGGAAGAATATGTTTTTCACCAAGACATTTCCATAACATGCCAAGACTTTCAAATGCACTATCGCGTACAGTTGAATCAGCTTCTCCTGTATTCTAAATTTAGACAAGATATTAATTTCTTTAAATAACAAAAAAAAAAAAAAAGAAAATAATCTTCAATATGTACTTTAATTAATGATTGTAAATATATTTTTAATATCTTCTTTGGTAATGTTGCTTGCGTTGCCATTGAAAAACATTTTGTAAGAAATTGTTGTGTACATTGTCGAACAATTGGTGTCTTATGAGCAAGTAAAACTACAGCTACTTCAGAAAATTGTTCGAGATTAGTCTAAAAATTAAAAATAAATCATTTCTTCCAAAAATATAATACAAAAAAATCTATATGATAACATTGTCACAATAGAGCCGCAAAGATGTGTATTTGACTCTAAATTTTTCGGACTCGATCGAATTGTACATTAGTATTCAATGAAATTTTCTAATTGGAATTAGACAATCGCCCAAAAGATACAAAATACTTTTCGCCAGTTTTTTTTGCATTCTATAATTAGCGTATCGCACGCATTTTTCAGATGATTAATGCCCGTCGGTTCCAAAATTTTCGAACCTGATGACTCCTCGTCTTCACTACAGTTTTCTAGTAGATAGGCCTCACTAAAGTTTGAATTTCATCTCGAGTGAGTTTAGAACTATTATCCATTTCTGAAAATAAGTCGCTTGAGCAGAATTCTTATAACTTTTGAAGGGAAAGTCATAGAGAGCTGCGGTTTTAACCGTTGGATAGAGAATATCAGGGCACATAAGTCTATGTAAAAACCGATGGGTCAATCCATAAAAAATACTCGTTATCTGCGACATCAAATTTGGATGAAAATTATATAAAATATGCCTATTCTTGAGATTTAACCTCAGTATACAACTGATTCACACATCAGATATACAGTAGACAGTGCCTCTGCATCATTTGAACTCAACAAGATAAAATGTTGAAGTTGCCCTTTTTGAAAGAGAAGGATTTCCTGTGAGAAAAAGGAAATTTCAGATTTCTAAATTTGAAGCTTATTTTAGCGGTTTTCCACAAATTTATCAAAAAAAGTTATAAGCACGTACCTTGTATAACAGATCTGTTTTTACATAGCCTTACGTGCCATGATATCCTCTATCTAACGGTGAAAATCCCAAGTCTCTATCATTTTCCTTTCAAAAGTTATAAGAATTCTGCTCAAGCGACTTATTTTCAGAAATGAATAATAGTTGGCATTCTTCAGAAAACTTTTTCTTGCCACTATAACAGCATAGTCAAATTTCTTGTTGCAGCAATTTCTTTTCATCACAATCGGAAATTTCTATTATGCAAATGTTTTTGAAGTTGCATTTAGTCAATAAATAAAAGCAGAATATGACATGAATGTTTCTTATAGTGGAACAGTGTAACTGAAGAAAAAAATAGTAACCGATTTAACTCTTTGATACTGATCAGCAAACATTTTACTTGTGAACGATTTTTACTTTAAATGATAGTCTTCAACAAGTTGGAATACCCATGAATGCATCTTACTCTTTTGGGTTCAATAAGAATAAATGATTGCAGTGATTGTGTTGAATCTTTTTCTTTTCTGTAAAAGAAATATACTTTTTAATAGTTTGATTTTGACTTAGACTAGGTCGAGCAAGCATGAACAATTCTTGACACGACACGGGTCATCAAATTATGATCTGATCTGAGTCACAATAGTAGAAATGAAGAACAAATAGAAACGATCAAGCAACTAAATCAGAATTAATAACAATAGAATTCTCGGCTATCTTGAAAAGAAAACCAACAACATCAATTAATCTATCCGGATTGTTTACGAAGTAGTATCTTTAAAGGAACCATAATCGACAATCTAATAATATCTTTGGACGAGCAAAATATTTTCTTGTTGACAGAACGCAAGAAAAAGATTCTATTATTATCGAGAAGAGTATCATCTTGTCTTTCGGTCGAACAAACCTTATCGACACTTTTAATTTCATGCCTTTCAGCAACTATCGAACGGTTATTTCTCAGCTCTTTGTTAATAATTACGTACGTTTACGGTTATTTTTAAATAAATTTGACGATATATACTCAATCTTACGGTACATATGAATAAAGACCTTGGAATGCTTATCAATAGATC